TTTGTTTGTCAATCTGATCCTTTGAATCACTATTTTTGAGTTGATCCAAGCTGCCAAAAAAAAAAAATTGAGATAAGATAAACCTTTGGATATAACTTATCTTTTGTTTAGAATTGATCTGAGCCTCAAAAAACTCAAGATAAGTTTTAGAATTCAAACTCAGCTCTAATTTATTATATAGATTAAAAATTATCTATGCCTAAAACACCAAACTTATATAAATTATACATCATCGCAGATACAAATTGTAAATCTTGGTCTTGCAAAAGATAAGTTGATTCCTATCTTAGGTTCATCATTTTTAGTGAAATAATTATTTTTTTTATAAAAAGAAATCATTAAGTGTTGACATATTTTATGGATGAGGCTATCATTACAGAGCCGTTAGGGTGGGTTCAGACACCACTAGGGTCCCGAAGAAGATGCTGGTTTTGATGGTGATCTATAATTTGTTTGAGTTGTATTTTTTTGAATAAATATTTTTGCTAATTGTTAATTTGATTATATAAATTATTTATACAAGTTGATATTTTTCATTAGTCATGATTCAAGAGAAAATTTTGTCAATTTTTCTTTTAAAAAAAACAGCGTGTCCATATTGATTGACAATTTTTTCCAAATCAATTATTATTATTATTTTTTGGTATAGAGTTTTGTTAGGCACAAACAATTATTTGTTACATAGTGCCTTCTAACGGCAAGTGAAGGAAAGACAAAGGGAAAAAGAAAGACTGATTTCGTAAGTCTTCAAACGAATTGCATCGAACATTTGATCACCAAAGTACAACATAGGAAAAAAAATAAAAAATACAGAACTTGATTTCGATATTCAGATGGGACAAAAAACTCCATAGAACAACTACAGTAAGATCTACATCATGATATAAGGCAAAGTAAGATGAGCCCTCCACTCACAGTAAAAAGATCTACACCCTGAGATAAGGAAAAATTTATGTGGTGATGTAAGGCAAAATTTTATGGCAGCAAGAAGCTCCTTCCGACGGTAAACTATGAACGGTATAGCCTTAAGAAGATTTATCAGGCTTTCTGTGCGCGATGATTTTGACACACTGAATAAAAGGACAGATCTCTACCTTGATAAACTTGAGTTCGCTTGGAAAGTCGAATGTTCCGCAACAAATGGATGTTGGGAAGTCATAATGAATGGCGATGAAGCTCTTTACAAACTATCTGCTTACTTGTGATTTATTGAACTGGGTCCTATCACTTAAAAAGAAAGGTTAGAAGGGTGTTGGAGTATTTTCTTGTGTGATCTCTTCGATGATCAAGTCAGTATGTGAGAGAAGGTTGAAAATCATTGTTCTATTGTTTGAGTGAGATTTTGCGTTAGCTAAACCCCTCCTTATCTTCTTTAAGGACTTAGCCATTTGATAGGGGCCAACCATTAGGACAATTGTCAACACCTTAGTGGAGTGGGGACTTGACGCCGAGGCCACATGCCAGATGGAGAGTCCCTTTGGAGAGCGAAGATGCCGAGGACACATGTCAAGCGACTGGTGCATCGGAGGACATATGCGCCGAGGACACGTGTTGATCAAGCAGCGTCTCGGGGATCATGTACGCCGTGGATACATGTCAAGGGACTGGTGCACTTGGGGACATAGGCATCGATGACACATGTCGACTAGGCAGCGTCTCGGGGATGATGTACACCCGAGGACACGTGTCAATCACTAAGAGTTTCGAGGGTGCTCCGCCAAGGACATGTGTCACTCCATGGCCACATGTTGTCTGCACATCAATCCACGGAAGCATCCCATCCACTGCCCTCAGCCCTTGATTTTCGTATGGTTCGGGTGACGTGGCGGAGGAAGATGAAAAGGCTTAACCCTTATTTCCTCATGCAGCCATTTTCCCTTCCTTGGTGTCTACGCCTCATTTAATGCGCCTCCCCTTGTTCATAGTCAGCAATGATGTTCTTCCACTTTTACCATTTTAGTGAGTTTAGGAGAGTTTTGCTGAAGTTCCTTTTGAGGTGATAGCTGATTAGTAGTTAAAATTGACATATTACTATGTTCTTTTAAGACTAATTATACTTTGATAGAGTTTAAATGATGACATTTTAGACCATAAGTTGTACAAGAGACTAAAGGCAATGAGTATCAAACTTTCATGTAACACTATCATATTTTGGAGAAAAGTTGGAAAAGCTTGGACCAAGCCAAGGATGTTCGAGAGCTAACTCACGTTCGAACGTCCACTTGGGGTGATTGAAAACCAGACTGCTAAAGACATGATGTGGTGCAGCTAAGAAGGAAGATTCTGAGGTACTTGAGTACCACGTTCGAACGCCAACTCACGTTCGAACATCCACTTGGGTGATTGAAGACCAGACTGATGAGTGCAAAACTCCAAGATGTGCATGGAGTGTGGAAATAGGTTCCCACAGAAGACCACATACCACTTGAGTGAGTAGGTCAGGCTCCATCTAGCATTTGAACACCCATAAAGCAAAGACAGAAGATACATTCGAACACCATACAATGTTCGAACGCACATAAAGGAAAAACAGAGACAACATTCGAACGCCAACTGACGTTCGAACGTTCTTCACAGGCAGGCTGTAGAGTAGTTGGTTATTCACTTAGGCTTGAGCGGCATACTCTATTCCTTCAGACTCTCTTGACTCCCCCTCCCATTTCCTCCTTGCCTATAAATACTCCCCTTGAAGGAGCCTTTGAAGGAGGTCTTGGAAAAAGATTAGAACTTGGTTTGTAAGGCTTAGACTACACCAAGAACTAGTAGAGAGCTTTGATGGAGGCTTAGACTCCTACTCATGTAGCTAGTCTTAGATGTATGTTATGTTTGTTTGTATCAAGGGAGTTAGTTCATCTTTTGGTTAAGGAAGCAACCCTCCGAAAGTGACTAACTTTCTTCTACTTTCATTGTTTATATCTTTCACTTCCATTGCTTGAGCTTCCTTATTTCTTAGAGGAGTGAAACTCTTCCATTTTTCTAGAGCTTTACCAAAGTTATGAAGGGTGGGACATGATTCACTCATTCTTCATTGAAGATTGGCTCTTGATTTATTGTGCTTTCACATTGTAACTCCTCTACTCGGAGGGATGAGTACCACTCACTTTTCTAGTTTTACCAAAGTTATGAAGAGTGAGTAGTTCCTTATTCACTCTTTAATAAGAGGTGATAAATATTTATAAATTATCCGAAAGTTATATTGGTACATTTCCTTTAGGTTTTAATACTTTATATTCCACTTGCTTATTAAATAATTGAGTGCATCTAACAAATCTAAGGTACTTTGTATAACCATAGGTTCTTTCTATGTCACAGATGACTCTTGCATAGAAAGACCAGTTGGTTCAAGGTAAGTACCTTGGCTAGATCTTCATGACAACATTTCAATCTTCACCATTATTGTGCTTTATCTAAAGAATGGAACATTAATGCCATGGTTGGATGCCTTGTAGAAACACTTGCTTATTTGTAGATGGGTTGAGTCTTGGCATAGACAATTCTTGTAAACTTCTAGAAAGACATCAAAATCATGTGTTTAATTCTCACAATCCATATTTATCTTCCAATTAACTTGCTGTTGACATAAGAGCTAATTGAGTTATAAAGCGCAAGTATAATAAACCGGATGATTAACTACATGTTCGGATCCTCAAACTAAAGGGTGACCGTTTATATTTGAATTTATCTTATATTTTGTCTAGAAAAATCTTGGCAAGAATCTTATATTCTATTCAGGAAATCCCATAACTTCAAACTCTTAAGGTTTTCAGTTACTTGGTCTCTATTACTACTCACTTCAAAACACCAATCATAGTTCCCTGTAGATTTGACTCCGAACTTAACCGGATTATTACTACAGCTTGACCTATAGAGAAGCGATCACCTTCCTCAAGTTCACCGAAGAAGTACACAAACCCCCCATTCTTGCTTCTTTTGAAGCTTTGTTCCTGGGGAGAACCGCCCTTTATTTATCCCTGGTTTCAGTCGACTCTATTGGTGAGTAATTGCTCTCTCCTTCTTAGNTTCCTCAAGTTCACCGAAGAAGTACACAAACCCCCCATTCTTGCTTCTTTTGAAGCTCTGTTCCTGGGGAGAACCGCCCTTTATTTATCCCTGGTTTTAGTCGACTCTATTGGTGAGTAATTGCTCTCTCCTTCTTACTTCATCAGTGGTTGTTCTTCTCCTATTCTTTCTTTTCCCTTTCCAGCTAGTTGCACCCTTCCGGCTCCCTATCCTCATCAAACCATCCTTAGGGCCCTATCTTTAGGAACTGATTGCTCTCGTTCACTCCATGAAGCGGCTTTGTCGGAATACAAGTAATGGCGATGATAAGATTGGTCCCTCGAGGCCAAGGAAATATACACTCATGGGTCGCCAACAAATCACCAATTTTAGGGCCCATTATTTGATTCCCCTCGAGGTTACTATGAATGAGTTTGTTCCTGGACTCTAGAGTGCTNGGGCCCATTATTTGATTCCCCTCGAGGTTACTATGAATGAGTTTTTTCCTAGACTCTAGAGTGCCGATGTTGGCACCGACGCAGCCATGCCCTTTTTCATCAAGGCTATCATAGAGGGTGGCGTCAGATTTCCCCTCCACCCCATTCTTTGCTTCCTGTCTTACTTTCCTCTTTTCCTAGGCCAGTGTTGCTGAAACACTTTTAGGATTATCATGGGGGTGGTCACCTTGAATGAGCATCTTCAAGTCAATCTTGGCTTGGAGGACATCATCTTTTGCTTCACTTTGGTGAGGGTGATGCCCAAGCAGAAGTTCTCCTTTAAAGCCCGACACCTAGCCATGTACCTTGTGACATATCTACCAGACTCTGACAAGGGGTACAGTGACGACCTGCTCATCTTCAGTGGCCAATGGTAGAAAGGAGTTGTGGTGCCCTAAGCAATGGTGGACTACAAGTACATCAACTTCTCTCTTTCTTCTCAGCTTACTGTACCTCAACATCACTATGCCTTAGTTTCTAATCTTCATTCTTTTATTTTTGTAGGAGTCACTAATGCCAAGTCTGCTCTGCCTCCTCCAAATCTTGTCAATCTCGTTAACATTTTCATCGTCTCGGGATACGTGGATGAGAGTTTTGCTGAGCTGCTTGACTACACCCCAAAGTACAAAAGCTTATTTTGGACCCCCCAAAACATTAACCTAGCTAGGGGGAGGGAGTTGACTAGTGAAAACTTGGAAAAAGACCCTGACAGAGCCACCGACGCTAAGGTAGAGGCTGCCCAAAATACAATCGCCGCCGACATCGCGGTAGAAAGGGCTTCATCCACCACCATCCACGTCAAGGCGAGCACTTTAGGCAGGGACATTTGGCCTGACTTTGAAATTTTACAAAATCTTGAGGAGGAAGACGCCTTACAGATCATTCTTTCTAACCCGCCTCGTCTTTCCTTTAATCTAATCAAATCCATCGGGGATGTGGTTTGGGTCCTGGGGACACTTCTTTCAATCAAGTACGGAGTCATCCTTTTGGGGTCGTGATCCAAAGGGCGACTCCTCTTCCTGTCATTCCTATTACTGATGCTTCATTGGCGCCGATGCCACTTGGACGCAATAGATTCCATAGCTAAAATCCTCAAATTAAGGGGAGGAGAATAAAACTGAGGCATGATGGTGCCAACCGCAATAGGGGTGCTTCTACGCCGACATCGATGCCTCCAACTATTTCAAAATGGTGCTCCAAGGCCCGAGATTGTGATAACCAGCAGATCCATGTGTTTGATTCCATTGTTACCTCTCCTCACATTACCTACATAGTGAATGAAACACTCCATTTTGACGCTGACATTGCGGTCCACTAGGGGTGTGGGAGTAATTTATTATTTCGTTCCTTGATCCAAAACTCGTTGGTGGTAAGGTCTCAACACTTGTGTTGATTTCTATTTATGAACACACTCCTTGACACAACTTTGTTGTCTTTAAATCTTAAGCGGCATAACAAATGTTCGTCATCGTGGAGCATTTCCATGTTCATCAGGGCAAGGTTCAAAAGTGCGAGAAACTTGTGTCGACCTTGAGAAAGTCCGAGAAGAGTTTGCTGCTACTAAGGAGGAGGTGGATGCTCGAGACAAGATGTTGGCTACTCAAAGAGCCCAAATCATCGAGCTCTTCAAGGAGGGTAAAAGTGCCAAGGTTGAGGCTGACAAGATCAAGGCCCTCCATGCTGATGTCGAGAAATGGATGATCAAGATGGCAAAGTAGACTTACGTCTCCCTCATGCAAGAGNTTGAGGCTGACAAGATCAAGGCTCTCCATGCTGATGTCGAGAAATGGATGATCAAGATGGCAAAGTAGACTTACGTTTCCCTCATGCAAGAATTAGACAAGTTGAGGTTTGAGTTGGAGGCCAATAGGTTGTCAGAGTAGGAGATCGGTAACAGATGTGCCGACGACATTGTCGTGGTGTTTGAGGAAACAAAGAGGGAGTTGTTCAAAAAAAGGTGGGATGAGGCACTTCTGGCTGCCGGGGTCCCTACCGAGTCTCCGAGATTTCAGGAACATCAGTACATTCCCTCCACCGAGATGGAGCAAGCCACAGCTGAGGTTGAGGTTGGGGAAGCTGGGGTCATCCAAGCTTTAGATTAAGCCCCATTAGCCGAGGGTGCTGCTCTTGCTCCTATTCCTCAGGTTGTTCCTATCCCTCTGCCCTAGGCTACAACTGTCATTGTCGATGCCACACATGCTGCCCCTTCTGATGCCACTCCTACTCTTCTCGACCCCGTGCCTGCCCCCCAGAGCAAAGCCTTTTTTGTTTAGGTTGATGTTGTGCCCACTACTCGCAGTTCTGACTCTTTCTCTGCCAGCATTAATGATCTCTTCGATGACATAGAGGGTGATGTCTGGTCCTCCATAGAATAGCATTTTTACTTTCTTTGTAACTTAGCTTTCAATTCTTGTAGCTTGAGGGACGCAATGCCCTCATTTTTGGAATATAAAAGGATGCTTTTCTTTTTCCATGTGTTTGCCCTTTCATGTAGTTGCTTCATTTTTTTCCTCTTTTTTTTTGTTGTCTGAAGTGTATCGTCCCTTGGGGGTAAGGTCCTGAGGGTAGGGTCCAGAATCCCCTTATTCTCGGTGGTTGTAGTCTCTCTCAACCTCCTTCATGGGGCAAATCTTTTTAGTTGTTTGCTCAAAGAGACACGTCCCTTCTAGGAGGCTTCACTCCTTCAGTCCTTTTTGTGGGTAAGCCATTTTTCTAAGGTTTTGCCCTTGGGGCCATGCCCCTCTAGGAGGCTTCACTCCTTTGGTCTTTTTTAGGGGCAAACTATTTTTTCTAAGACTTTACCCCCGGGGCCATGCCCCTCCTAGGAGGCTTCACTCATTTTGTTTCTTTGGAGGTAATTCTTCCTTGAAGACTCTACTTTTCGAGACCATGTCCCATCTAGGAGGCTCTGCTCCTTGGGTCTCTTTGGGGTCAAGAGTCTATTTGACGTCTTTGCCCCTGGGCCATGCCCCCTCGGGAAGTTTCATTCCCTTATATCCTTCGGCGGTGGGGGCGGCATGCGAACCTCACCTCTAGGGCCATGCCCCTTCCTAGACAACAAACTTAGCCAAAATAAGTTCTTTCACTCAAAAGTAGTACTTTTTCAGATTTGTTACATTCTAGAGCCAAAGTACGACATTTTCTTCTATTTCCACCAGCTCATATGATCCAAAGCCCTCTATTGATATGACTTTGTCTGGTGCCCCCCTGTTAGGTCCCATCTTCCTATTGGCTGGGTCGCGAGTATTCCCAACTATTCTTCTGAGCACCAAGTCACCTACTAGAAATTTTCATGGTTTCACTCTTTTATTGTAGAGGTTAGACATCCCCTCTTGGTATTTTGCTAACCACAAAGCAATCATTTCTCTTCTTTCCTTTGCGAGATCCAAGTTCAGGTTGAGTTGGTGAACATGCTTTCCTATGTCAAATGCATGAGTCCTTATAGTGGGGAGACCTACTTCCAACGGGATATCCACCATTACTTCATTGGCAAGGGCATAAAGTGTTTTGCTCGTTGAGGTCTGCAGAGTCGTCTTGTAAGACCAAAGGACATTCAATAGCTCTATCACCCATTTTCTCTTAGCTTTCTCCAATCTTTTCTTAATTCCATTGATGATAGTCTTGTTCAAAGACTGTTTGTCCGTTTGCTTGACGGTACAAAGGCGTGGAGTAGTAATTCTAGATTCCAATATACTTGCAAAAAGACTTGAAAGACCCGCTATTAAATTGAGTCCTATTGTCCGATACNAATAAGTTCTTTCACTCAAAAGTAGTACTTTTTCAGATTTGTTACATTCTAGAGCCGAAGTACGACATTTTCTTCTATTTCCACCAACTCGTATGATCCAAAGTCCTCTATTGATATGACTTTGTCTGGTGCCCCCCAGTTAGGTCCCATCTTCCTATTGGCTGGGTCGCGAGTATTCCCAACTATTCTTCTGAGCACCAAGTCACCTACTAGAAATTTTCATGGTTTCACTCTTTTATTGTAGAGGTTAGACATCCCCTCTTGGTATTTTGCTAACCACAAAGCAATCATTTCTCTTCTTTCCTTTGCGAGATCCAAGTTCAGGTTGAGTTGGTGAACATGCTTTCCTATGTCAAATGCATGAGTCCTTATAGTGGGGAGACCTACTTCCAAAGGGATATCCACCATTACTTCATTGGCAAGGGCATAAAGTGTTTTGCTCGTTGAGGTCTGCAGAGTCGTCTTGTAAGACCAAAGGACATTCAAGAGCTCTATCACCCATTTTCTTTTAGCTTTCTCCAATCTTTTCTTAATTCCATTGATGATAGTCTTGTTCAAAGACTGCTTGTCCGTTTGCTTGACGGTACAAAGACGTGGAGTAGTAATTCTAGATTCCAATACACTTGCAAAAAGACTTGAAAGACCCGCTATTAAATTGAGTCCTATTGTCCGATACATGCACACGGGGGGATTCTGAATCTCATCCCTATGTTTTTCCACATTAACCTTTTGGTGCCTGTGTCCCTAATGTGAGTCAACAGCTCAGCTTCAACCTGCTTTGTGGAGTAATTGGTTCCAAATATTAGGAATCTCTTGTTCCCTAGGGCCATTGGGAAGGGTTCAACCAAGTTGAGTCTCCACTGAGTGAACGACCAGAGGCTAGTCAGTGGGTGCAAATCTTTAACATTGGTCACATTTTTTGACGTAAGCTTGTGCATCCCTTTGCATCTGCGAGCACCAATATCCTTATGACATGATCCGATGGGCCATAGATCTTCCACCCGAGTGTCCCCCATATATGCCTTCATGCACCTCAAATAGAAGGGGTTCAACCTTATCCTCGTAGACACACAACAAATAGGGTCCCGAAAATGACTTTCGGTACAACTTCTGATCCGGAGAAGCCCATAACCTCATCTTCATGGCTTGCTTGGACATTTTGGGGGGTCTCCAGACACAAGGAACTTGAGTAGGGGGTCAATCCAACTAAAGGGCTCTTCCCCTTCCTAAATTGTAATTACTCCTAGAGCATCGTCTATGCTAGAATTGGGAAGGTACTCCACTGTGATCCTTCTCATCATGTCGATGTCCAATGCCGAGGCTAGGTAGGCAAGAGCGTTGGTGTGGGTATTCTTATCTTATGGGACCTATTTAACTTCCACCTTCTTGAACTTGTAGAGTAAGGTCATTATTTTATGGTGATATGCTTTCATCCTTGGATCCCTCGCCTTCAAACTCTCCATTGATTCAGTTGACCACCAGTAAGGAGTCATAAAGGATCGTCAGCTCCTACGACATCGACAAGTTATTGTCCAAAGATGAGAGCTTCANCTATTTAACTTCCACCTTCTTGAACTTGTAGAGTAAGGTCATTATTTTATGGTGATAAGCTTTCATCCTTGGATCCCTCGCCTTCAAACTCTCCATTGATTTAGTTGACCACCAGTAAGGAGTCATAAAGGACCGTCAGCTCCTACGACATCGACAAGTTATTGTCCAAAGATGAGAGCTTCGTACTCTGCCTTGTTGTTGGATGCTTGGAAACAAAATCGCACAGCTTGCTTCGTGACCACTCTGCCTGGTGAAACCAATAACACCCCAATTCTTGACCCCTTGCTATTGGAGGATCTATCCACACACAGTCTCCAGGAGTGCACTTGACCGTGCACGGAGGGTTCTCCATTGGGATAAAGTGGCCCCCCTTGTGTAAACTTGGCAATGAAGTCTGCCAATACTTGACCCTTTATCGTTGTGTGGGATCTATAATAGATGTTGTGTTTCCCTAACTCCATTGCCAATTTTGCTATCCTTTCGAAGAGGTCCGTNGGATCTATCCACACACAGTCTCCAGGAGTGCACTTGACCGTGCACGGAGGGTTCTCCCTTGGGATAAAGTGGCCCCCCTTGTGTAAACTTGGCAATGAAGTCTGCCAATACTTGACCCTTTATCATTGTGTGGGATCTATAATAGATGTTGTGTTTCCCTAACTCCATTGCCAATTTTGCTATCTTTTCGAAGAGGTCCGCNGTTGTGTTTCCCTAACTCCATTGCCAATTTTGCTATCCTTTCGAAGAGGTCCGTCTTCCTTAAGATCAGCTTCAAAGGTTGATCTGTCAAGACTGTGATGAGATGTGCTTGAAAATAATACTTGAACTTTCGTGTGATCGTGACTAATGCTAATGCAAGTTTTTCCAAAGGCAAGCATCTCATTTCTGGGTCTAGGAGGGCTTTGGCCATGTAGCATACCAGCTTCTATTCATGTTTATGCTCGTGGACTAGCACGCAGCTGATGGCAAACTTGGACACGANTCGTGTGATCGTGACTAATGCTAATGCAAGTTTTTCCAAAGGCAAGCATCTCATTTCTGGGTCTAGGAGGGATTTGGCCATGTAGCATACCAGCTTCTATTCATGTTTATGCTCGTGGACTAGCACGCAGCTGATGGCAAACTTGGACACGGCTAAGTAGAGAAATAACATCTCCCACCTTTTTGGGACTGATAGGGTTGGGAGGACCCTTAGATACTCCTTGATCCCTTCGAGCACCTTCTTGCACTCTTTATTCCAACTGTCCTTCCCAGATCTCTTGATGATGCCAAAAAAAGGCTTGCACTTTTCCGTTGATAGGGATATAAAATAGCTTAAGGCAGCCAANTGGGACTGATAGGGTTGGGAGGACCCTTAGATACTCCTTGATCCCTTCGAGCACCTTTTTGCACTCTTTATTCCAACTGTCCTTCCCAGATCTC